GTGCAGTGCCAAACTTAGATTTGTTTGTTTTTTCTTTACAGCTCGTCTTTTTCATCAAGTATTTGTAAGTTTTAGGAAGTACATCATAGAGTCTAGTTTTCTGAATCCTGATCTGCACATTATTCTCAATGATATATGCTGTGGTGCAGGTAAGTGAATAATAGAACCTTCTGCAACCTGATGCTCTTCAGATATATTTTATGGTCTCAGGTCATTTCCCCTTCATAATGGCCAAATTTATCAGGTCACTTAGAGGCCCCAGGTTGAACATGACTGATGTTGGGAGATCAAAACATTTCATAAGCATCCTCTTTTTAAAAAAGGTCTCTTATTTATATAATTGAATAGTAAATATTATTAGATACACAGCTGTTCATGAATGAATGAAACAAATTTATTATCATTGGCCAGTGATTAATAGAATTGTATAGCAGAAATTATAGAGTAGAATAAAAACTAAACGCCAGAGAAGGCTGATTAAACTTACTTAAACCCTAATGTTTATCTTCTGTTGTTTGTTATGTTTAATTTGGAATAGTCGTATTTCCTGATAGTCATTTGGAGATACTCTCCAGTTAATTTTTAGAGGTGTGAAAAATTGTATACAGACAAAAATTGTGTAGCAAACTATCAGTAAACTAAATAGGTCATTCAAATGTGGTGTACTTGTGATTTCTTAACTGCATATTTTTCCTCTTTTATCCCTCAGGTCACGTTGATGATTTGTTTCCATTTTTCTTGCAACACGCTAAGCAGATCTTTCCTATGCTGGAGTGTATGGATGATCTGCGTAAAATCAGTGATTTAAGATTGCCTCCAAACTGGTTAGGTTTTTAAATCACCTATAGCTACTATGTAATTGTTATTATTTATTTTGTATTGAAACTAGATTTCTTCTAGTTAATAGGAGTGTGTTATGTTACTGGAATTATAAGCTGATTTTTACCTATTTGAAATGTTGGATATTGGACTTGAGATTATGTAACTTTATATTAAACAATTATATATTTTGAAATTCCAATAATATGACTTCTCTGGTGCTGGATATAGCTCATTTTGGAGTAACTTCTGTTCAGTTAAATTCGGTGTGCTTGAAATTAATGAGTGTAGGATTTTAGTCCATGTCTGGATTTACATGTTGCACTTAACCAGACATCGTTGGCTTGTGGCTTATTATATTGTGTATGACCTATCACTGTTCATCAACACAGTCATTTGGTACAATATGCAAATTAGTTTATGTCTGATGCATACTCTGTTCAGAGTCTTATTTGAAATTATTGCATATGTACAGCTTCAGTTAAAATTTTGGGACTTGGAAATTTGGACAAGTAAAACTGGATTCTGGACAGTTTCTTTTGCAATAGTACTTGGGCTTAGTTTTGGTGCAGAAATGCTTTAGTTCAGCTTCCTGTATGGTTAAAACAATTCTCATAAATAAGATTACATAGTTCGTTTACCATTTTTGCACCCAGTTTATTTGGTAAATTTTGATAGAAGATATTTTTCACTTAAAATATTTTGAATAGATCAAACAACAGAAAAACATAATGCCCTAGCAATCAGTGGCAATAATGAAATTTAACCAAGTTCAGATTCTAAATATTAGCTTACAATCACAAATATCATTTTTTCTAAAATGTACTAAAAATAAAGTACTTAGAATACAGGTAACCCTTGAGTTATAACCACAAATGAGCCTAAAATTTCTTTGCTAAGCAAGACAGTTGTTAAATGAATTTTGCCCCATTTTATGACCTTTCTTGCCAGAACTATTAAGTGAATCATTGCAGTTGTTAAATTAGTAAGACAGTAGTTAAGTACATCTGGCTTCCCCATTGACTTGCTTGTCAGAAGGTGGGGAAAAGGTGATTACATGACCCTGGGACAATACAGCCATCATAAATACATGAATTCTGATCACAGGACTGTGGGGATGCTGCATTGGTCATAATTGTGGGAAAGGGTCATAAGTCACTTTTTTCAGTGCCATTGTAACTTTGACGAGTCACTAAATGAATGGTTGTGAGGACTACCTGTAACCAAAGGTGTCTTTATTTAAACATATATATATATATTCATTGGTCAGTCAGGACGAATGGCCCTATCACACGGTCAATGAGTAAGAAACTAGGTTATCAAGGCTTATAAGAGATCTCTCCACCCCCAACACTTCACTCTGAAGATGCTGACAATGGATCAGCGAAAGCTAAGTTTGTGTTAATATTGTAAATAGTTGCTTTTATTGTTTTAATTTTTTTAAGTGTCTTGGCGACGTTTCGACAAAGTCCCATTTGTCATCTTCAGGCTGGTGTTTTCAGCTTCGTGCTTCTGGGAGCACGAAGCTGAAAACACCAGCCTGAAGATGACGAATGGGACTTTGTCGAAACGTCGCCAAGACACTTCCAATTTTACGCGGGAGAAAACCCGAATAACCAAAGACCTATATATATCTTTTGAGTTTGCTGCACCCTGTCGGCCTAACATGCAGCAGCCCAGGTTCGAATCTCAGAAGGGTATGTCTGGTTGAAAAGAAGTTTGAAATGGCTATTCCAGTTCTCCCTTAATTCTTTGTCAGCAATCCAAATTTTGAATTTTTTTTGAATATATGTATGTATGTATGTATGTATATTATTTGAGAAATCATGTGAAACTTTCAATAGAATAAAATTCTCCTTTTTTGAGGGCAGAGCATGTGCTTAGGAAAGAAATTCAGAAGACATGATAGTAGTGTGACATCCCCAAAAAAGGGATGTTTGAGATGGAATTTTAACCTTCAGTTTCAAAACAGAAACATAAATTTATTAAATTTTACAAAAACTTAAATCTTTCTAATATAAACACTCTGGAAAAATTGCATTGTCAAATGATACCACTTTGGTACTGCATCTTGGCACTCAATCTGGGATACTTCAGGGCAAAAAAAAAGGGGGGGGGTCTGGGGAGGCTGTGCGTTGTCCATCCCAGAGGTAAGGAAAGACACAAAAGTGGTATTGAGGAAGAGAACACCCTTGTTTTCTTCTTTCTTTCTGTTTCCCCATTTTCCCCACTCCATTACACCCAGGGGTGACTAATCAAACTTGCTATTAAAAATCATCTTCCAAGTGCTACAGAGCTACACATTTAATGATGATTAAGTACAAATTCATATTACTTGATTTATTTTTACATTTCTGTTTATGTGTTCTAGGTATCCGGAAGCCAGGGCTGTTGAAAGAAAAATTGTGTTTCATGCTGGCCCTACAAATAGTGGGAAAACCTATCATGCAATCCAGAGATATTTAAAAGCAGAATCCGGAGTATATTGTGGTCCTTTAAAACTCTTGGCCCACGAAATCTTCCAAAACAGTAATGATGCTGTCAGTATGTCATTGAATTTCCATCTGATATTGCCTTTGTTGCACTCATGCTGTTACATGGAACATTGTTGGTGGTTAAAAAAAAATGTGTGTTGTCAGTATCTGTCTGGAGTCCAAAAACAGGTTATAAGGTGGGGTGAAAAAACAGAGTTTTAGGGACAGTGGGTGTGTTTTAAGGTTGTAGTATTTTTCAAGGGCATTCCTAATTTGCAGTCCGCTAAAGATAACAACAAAAAAGGTGGATTTCAACTAACTGCATTGGCCATTAGAAAGCTTTCACCACTGGAATGGGGAAGATACAATTGTCAGTTGTTTTCACTCTTTTCTATAGTGGAAATGAGCTACCCCCAGAGATCAGGGTGATCCCTGATCTCCCTTCCGCCGCGCCCTTAAGACATGGTTATTCCAACGTGCAGGACTGGCCTAGGGGAAAATTTTAACGGGGTTTTAAAGTATTTTAAATTAACTTGACCTAATTCTAATATTTGTTTTTATTTATGTTTTTAAATTTGTAGTTTTTTGGGGATTAATGTTTTATCTGGTTGTTAGCCGCCCTGAGTCCGTAAGGAGAAGGGCGGGATATAAATTAGATTAATAATAATAATAAAATAATAATAATAATTTACTAATCCTCTCGGAAGTCTGCCCTGGAAGAATCCAAATCTTTCTGGACCATGTTTTCAGAGAAAAAGAGAATTCTTCCACTGCATTCTAATAATAGAAGTCTTCCACTGCAGATTATGTGAATCCATTATGTCACGGGACCACAGGTAGAGCTCAGTTAACTCTTTCAGCAACCATTCACAGTTACAATGAATATACTTACGAATGGATCTCAAAATGGCAGCCATCCTGGCACTCATACAGTCACATGAACCCAGTCTGGGTGCTTGGCAACTGGTTCGCACTTAGGATGTTGCAGCATCCTGCGGTTATGTGATTGCCATTTGTGACCTTCCCTACTGCCTTGCCAGAACAAAGTCAATGGAGAAGCAGGCAAGGAAGGTTGTAAGTCACTCTGGCAAGTCACCCTCCCTTCCCCCCTTTGGCCCCACTGCATTCATACCTCACCAGCCATCCACACACCTTCCCCATCCGGTAGTAGCAAACCTCCTGGGACTTGCAAGGAGGCCCTTGCTTGATGATAGTAGTGTTGTTTTGTTAGGAATAATAGGAGCAAATTATGAGAAAGATTGTATATATTTAATTCTACACGTACTAACTGCAGCAAGAATTGTATGTGCCCAACATTGGAAAAATGAAAATTTACCAACTGAATAAGTATTAATTAAGAAAATTTTAGAGTGTGCAGAAATGGACAGATTGACTTTAAAGATAAAAGAGAAAGAAGACTCAGTGTATTTCAGAACGTGCAATAATTTCTATCAGTGGCGAGAAACATGAGTTAGAGAGAAAGGAATGTGATATTTAACTTTGAATATATATATATATTAGTAAGAAGAAGGCTATTGAGCGATTAATTAACATATTGTTTATGATAATTAACTATTATCTATTATTTCTTATTAAACACATGAACCCAGACATTATGCTGTTTGCTAAATATTGAGAATGTTATTTGGAAAAACCCTAACCCCAACCCTAATCCTAACCCTAACCCAAATCCCAACCCAAATCCTGATCCCATCTCATTCCTAACCCTATAAAAACTAATAAAATTTATACTCCCAAAAAATGATAGCAGTGTTGTTGTCGCTAAGCAAACCAATAATTTCATGTCACACTCCACAACTGCATCACATAGCGATGAAAGTTTCAATCCCAATTATCATTGTTAAGAGAGGATTATCTGTGATTTTGTTATTGCTTTCAAGTGCTTTGTTGGACTTCATTGTTATATCCTTGAGGGAAATATTTATTTTGCTTTTTTTTTTTAATGTTATAGAATGTACCATGTGACCTGGTTACGGGAGAAGAACGAGTCTGTATTGATCCTGAAGGGAGGGCAGCTGCCCATGTTGCTTGCACTATTGAGATGTGCAGTGTTAATACACCTTGTATGTATGCTTTTAAAAAAAACATATTTAGTTTTGAAGTGCTTATAATATTTGTATATAAAATTGTCCGGAAGAGAAAACACAAAATAGTTTTTAAAATGAACAAATGCCCATTTCCAAGATTTCATTACGGAAATGCCTCTTACTTCTGTAGTGAGAGTTTATGAATGTTAGTAAAACTTTAAACTTTAAACTTTAAAATTTGATAGATAAATAAATGACTCTTTTATTGCATGCTGTTTTTTAAGATGACGTGGCTGTGATTGATGAAATTCAGATGATTAGAGACCCTTCTAGAGGCTGGGCCTGGACACGAGCACTCTTGGGTATGTCTTTGGAAAGATTATTATTATCAAATGGTGTTATCATAATCCATATTGTATTTAATTTGCAGCGTAGTTTTTCAGAGCAATCTTCCCATATCTAAAGCTCTCCAGATTTCTTCAGAGTACATTGGCCAACACTTTCAGTCATGGAAAAAACCCACATTTGGGTGTCTTAGATATTTATTCTAAGAAAAGGGTCTTCAAACTTGGCAACTTTAAGACTTGTGGACTTCAACTCCCAGAATTCCTCAGCCAGCCCTGGCTGGCTGAGGAATTCTGGGAGTTGAAGTCCACAAGTCTTAAAGTTGCCAAGTTTGAAGACCCCTGCTCAAGAACAACACATGGAGTTACTTCTGAGTAGTTTCTTTATTATTTCTTGTCTACAAAGGAGTTTCTTTATTATGTTTGCCTACTCTTGTCAGACTAAAGCAATTAATCTGCATAACTATAGACATACTCTGATCTGCTAGGGAGGGGCCATCTTATCCCTCTTCCTACCTAGCAGACATTCCAAGCTCCACTGCCTTTTAGCCCTCTGGGGAAGAGTCCTTCCTCCTGGCACTACATATCACCACAAAATGGCTGACTGGGGAATTTCAAAATTGGAGTCCACATGTCTTAAAGCTGCTGAGGTTAAGAAACATCACTATAAACAAAGCATGTTGTTCCATGAAAATATTTTTTTGTAATGCTTGCACATCATTATTTTGTTCAGGACTTTGTGCAAAAGAAATCCATGTTTGTGGTGAAGAGGCTGCTATTAACCTAGTGACAGAACTCATGTATACTACAGGGGAACAGGTTGAGGTAGGTGCTCTGCTTCACTCTCTGTATGTCCAGGATAAAGGAGGCTCAGTGGGTGGAGCTGCAAGAAAATGGGGGGTGTCATTTTTTCCCCCTGGAGTTTGGGAGTTCATTTTAAGTCTTTTTCAGTCTTTCCCCTTTTTCTAAAATATATCTTGTACTGTAGTCCTTCTGCTATGGCTTTCATGTGATTCCCATCTCAAAGTAATGGTAACTATATTTCTGATTTTGAGTAATGGACAAAATGGAGTTTTAGGGTTGCAAAAAAAGTGGCCCAGGATCTTTTCAGCACCTCTGAAACCTCATATTGTCCAATCTAATGTGCAGACTTCTTCCAGTTGCTTTTCCTTAAGAGGTAAAATAGATGGAATATATTAAAAGTCATCCCCTCCACCAGCGTTTCATATCTTTAAAGCTAAATTGCTCAAGTGATATTTATATACAAATTATACAGTGCTTTTAGACTCTTTCTAACAGAGATATAACCGGTGATAAGATCTTTACATTAAACTAAAACTCCAATGGGGTGAGGTTTTTGTAAGACTTAAGACTTTAAGTGAATCTACACTTTGGATGTCTCCCTTTATAACAAGAGTTTCATCGTCAAAAATAATTACTGATTTCGTCTTTCGTTAAAGATCACTTATATGTTCAATAAAAAGGGGGTTGTACTACTGTCTCCTTCCCTATCCAGCCACTAAGAAAAGTCATTCACCAATAGTTCAGTCCCTGTTTATTTCCCATATTTGTTCTCTTTAATGTAAATAGCTCCAATTGTTACTAAAGTGTTGCTAGATGGCCTGCTTAGGATGAGGAGCCTAGCTAGAGTCCTTTTAGCAATTGTTCTTACAACCCGTGATCAAGATCAAGCTGAGAGCCTTTTTGGGTCAGAGGTTGTCGTCCATTCAGAAACCCTTGACTGTAACCAGCGTCTTTTGTTCAGTATTATTGTATTCTAGTTTATGGCTATAAATAGTATTGTATGTTTATAGGTGAAAAGGTACAGGAGGCTGACTCCCATCAAGGTGCTGAATAAGGCTCTTGAATCTCTGGATAACCTTCACCCTGGAGACTGTATTGTTTGTTTCAATAAGAACGATATTTATTCAGTGAGTCGACAAATTGAATTCCGGGGCTTGGAATGTGCAGTTATATATGGAAGTCTTCCACCTGGTACATATTCTAAATATTTTTGGTGAATTATATGTGGGAAATACTTCTCACTGTAATGATGATTGAAAAGTAGAATTATTAGGGTTGACATTTGATTACTAAATTGTTCAATATTTCTATATCTGATAGATTAGTTTAGGTGTGTTCTTTATTTATCTTTGGAATTTTATAGTGTGTACACCCACTGTTGGTTTTATTTATTGATTCATGAATTAACTGCCCCTTATTTAGGCAGCAGGTACTCAAGTATAATACAATAATATGCAACTCAGTGTATTCCTCTTATTTTAGTTCCTTCTTTAAAAAAAGTTTTCTATTACCGTGTATGAATTGTATTTTCTGAAGGGGTTTGACATACTTTTCTCTCATGGAGATTTGTATAGATAGCAGAATGACTTCTTGCAAGATGTAAGGGAGAAACACCAGGGATATACCACTCTTAAGAAATCTTTATTTCATGCTACTCCAAAATCATAATAGTATTAGAAAATATCCCCAGAGGGCATTTAGTTCAAGTTCCTGTCAGTATAAACATTTTCCTACTGTATATTGGCATGTGGCAACATTTCCTCCAATTAAAAAGTTATTAAAAAAGTGACTTTCTTTCCACAGCTGTCCCTTCCACAGCCAAACATCAGCTTCTCTTATTATTGCAATATTTTTCTTAATTTGAGGTTATCTTGCAGAGATATTTCCATAGTGATATGAACTGGCATGAACTTGTGGCTTGTTGAATAACCAGTATAAATTCAATAATTTGAGAACATTTTGTTATTACATAAATGTACGTATTACATAAATGTATGTATTAATGTATGTGGATGACACCACCCCAGACAGATACTACCTCTGTGCAAATGCAGAAGATGTAATCCTAGGATGTATTTTGTAGTCACAAAGCATAGCTGGTCCTATTACAGTTTTGGATGCTGCATTTTTTCACTAACTAATTAATATGTTAGCTTCAGGAGGGCATTTTAAAATACCGTAATAAATATTATAAATCTAAGTAAAAATAAGTATTCAGATCCTTTTTGTATTTGGGACATCATATATTGTTCTGATTGTTTCAGGAACAAAACTTACCCAGGCAAAGAAGTTCAATGATCCGGATGATCCGTGTAAAATCATGGTTGCTACAGATGCAATTGGGATGGGTCTCAATTTGTAAGTACACTAGATAAATTAAAAATGATCTCTTAATGAACCCAGGGGATTGATAGAACCAGAAAGAGTTTGATAGTGGTAAGGTTACTCTTCACCAACTTTGGAAGCCAAGAGCCGCGAGATTGATATTGCAATGTCCTGGTCCCCTATATTGCAGATGACCCTGTGAAACAGGGGTCTTCAAACTTGGCCCTTTTATGACTTGTGGACTTCAACTCCCAGAATTCCTCAGCCAGTGCCTGGCTGAGGAATTCTTGGGGTTGAAGTCCACAAGTCATAAAAGGGCCAAGTTTGAAGACCTCCGCTGTGGAGGCTTCAGCACTGGGCAGAGCTGTCTTCCTTCCCTCACAGTCCACTAGCAACTTTTCCCAGTTTACATTTTTGGTTGGTAGTTACATTAGCTTAGCTAGGATCACGTTTTGAGAATCACCTTGTATTGTAAAATGGATTAATTTGTGTGACTTCAGTGTTCATTACCTTTGTTCTAGGAGCATAAAAAGAATCATTTTCAACTCCCTAATAAAGCCACAGATCAATGAAAAAGGAGAAAAGGAAATTAACACAATTACCACTTCTCAGGCGCTGCAAATTTCAGGCCGAGCTGGCCGATTTAGTTCTGCATTTAAAGAAGGGGAAGTTACTACGATGCATGCAGATGACCTCGTTCTGCTAAAGAAGATTTTGAGTGAGCCCGTGGATTCTATAGAGGTATGTTAATAAAGCAGTCTGACCTTCTGTTCATTTTACAGTTGAATCAAACTGAATATGAAACGCAACAAGGGTTAATCAAAGAAGCCCAGGAATTACTTTCTTCCATAGCCTTGTGGCGCCCTCTAGATGTGCCAGTCTATACCTCTCATTGCAGGGAAATTCTACCAGGTCTTGCTACCCTGTTCCCCCAAAAGTTAGACCCAGCCAGATAGTAAACCCTAGTTTGATTTTTGGGGGTGGGCCTAATAAAAGCCCTACTCCAAAACTAGGCCCTAGTTTTGGGGTCAGGTGTACCCCTAAAAATCAAGCTAGAGTGGGGGTGAAGCTGCCCCATGGGCCCCGCACTCTCTTACCGGTAGGACCACTACTGCCAGGCCTCCCACGCCTCGACCCCTGTCGCGCCACTGCTTGACTTCTGCGCCACTTGCCGCCACCAGCAGCCGGATGCCATGTGACGCCGCATGGCGCTTTGGGCCTGTTCTTTGTGTGGTTTGCGCCGCTTCTGTTGCTTGCGCAATTGGAGCCGCTTCTGTTGCTCGCGCAATTGGGGCTGCTTCTGTTGCTTGTGCAATTTGGGCTGCTTCTGTTGCTCGCGCGATTTGAGCCGCTTGTGTTCCTTACACGATTTGGGCCACTTCTGTTGCTTGTGCGATTGGGGCCGCTTCTGTTGCTTGCGCAATTGGGGCTGCTTCTGTTGCTCGCGCGATTGGGGCTGCTTCTGTTGCTTGTGCGATTTGGGCCGCTTCTGTTGCTCACATGATTTGGGCCGCTTGTGTTGCTCACGCGATTTGGGCCGCTTGTGTTCCTTGCGTGATTTGGGCGGCTTGTGTTCCCTGCACGATTTGGGCCGCTTCTGTTGCTCACGTGATTTGGGCCGCTTCTGTTCCTAGTGCGATTTGTGCCTCTTCTGTTGCTCATGTGATTTGGGCTTCTTCTGCTGTTCACGTGATTTGAGCCGTGGCCCAAATCACGTGAGCAACAGAAGCAATCCAAAGCGCTGCGCAAGCAGCTGAAGCAGCCCAAAGCACCATGCAGCGTCCTGGCGGGAGGAGCAGCAACGGCGCAATACACCACATAGTGTCCGGCTGCAGGTGGCAGCAAGCAGCCGCAGAAGAAGTCAAGCAGCGGCGTGACAGGTATCGGGACGTGGGAGGCCTGGCTGCAGTGGTCCTAAGGTAAGACATTCTCCAAAATTAAGACCTAGTGCCTCTTTTGGAGGCAAAAAAATATATAGGACCAGGTCTTAATTTCGGGGAAACACGGTATTTATCCATCTAACCTAGAATTGTCTACTCTGACCTTCGGCCTTGGGCTTTTCTGTTGATACTGTTAACAGACAGTACTAGAGTTGCA